ACCGTTATTTGCGCGACACGAAGCGGCAACACAAGCAATACCACATAATATGACAGATACATGGTCGAGAAGTGATGGGATGTGGAAATCGCCGTATTGTATCCAAAAAATATTTTTAGCAGGCAACCAATCCAATGAAGTGATATTTGTCGCACTAACAGAGAGAACCGTTTTTATACATTCCGGTAAGCCGTATGATTCCTAATCTTTTTGCATAATAATTTTGATTTTATTACATTCTAAAATTTTTTGTTTGCTGTATTGAATAATAATAGTTTCATTGAAATGCGATTATAACCGCTGTATCACAGCCCAGAATTTGTCACCAAATTTTTTCAACTCGAAACAGTCGAAGAGTATAGACAATAATCCAATGTTTGATTATCATCAAAAAACGATGAAGCATTGCTATTATAAAAATTTATAGTTTGAAGTTATTTGAAAATCCACCGATTCGATAATTGATAGCCATCTACGGAACTGAAATTTTCTTTGAAAGGTATAAATTATTTTCCAATACTTTCGGCATTTTTATTTGTTTTACTTTTCTTGAAAGATTAATTGGCATTGATATTTATGAGTACAAAGTAAAACAAAGAAGTCTAGATCATTTCTAAACCTTCTTGTGCTTCTGAAGTTGTGATAATTATTTCTGCGACTTGGCTAATCTCCTGAAAATATTTGATATTCATTGCTATGTCGTAAATATGTCGTACACTAATGACCAATTTAAAATCTCTAAATTATTTTATTCCAACAGATATTCGTTTTAAAATTAGGGAGTATTATTTATTACTCGGTTGAATATTTTCAACTACTTACCTTTTTATGATTGCTTAACAAGCCTAGAATTTCAACCGTACAGATCCTATAGTGAAATATTTTTCTTTTGTGGTCACGTAAGCTTAAACGTTTCAGCTCATGAAACATCTGTTTAAATCGGAAGTCGTCGACATTTAAAAAATCCCTATGAGGTGTTCAACAATTGTATACGCTAAATTCAATGATCAGTATGCTTAAATGTTTATCAGGCGATGCCATCCACTTAAGCCTTTATTTGACAAAGGTTTTCATAAGTTATTCAAGTAAATATTTTCCTGTAAGAAATCTTATGATTAATTAATAAGGATAATCAATTTTCGATCAGATATAGAATAAGAAATTTGGATATCTTATCTAGTAAATGATTTTCACCACTAATTTATGAATCTCAAAAGCACTCAAATGAATATAACGAAAATATGGAACAAATAGAAGTGGCACCGTCTATTATCAGCAGTGTTTATTATTTCATTCGTCTATTTCTCGTTCTCAAAGAGAATTTCGAAATTAATTTTATTTTAAAATTTTAGGGGTGATAATAATATACTTCTATGGCTACTATTTTTTTGAATGGATCACTATTTCTTGGTCTGTTGATATATGTTCAAATTCAAAACCTTTTATTTGTATAGCGATTAACTTAGTGATTGAAGTTAATCTTACTAATGAATCGATTTGGCCAATATATTTTTAGTAGATTATGTATAAAATAATTCTAATTTTAAGAATGCATCAGATAGAAAATTGAAAATTAAAGTTCTGCATTTTATATTTTGTGGCTTACTTAAATCGAAAGACTCTAATTTCTTTGAAAGGCTATAAATTAAATTCCTATATTTTCCATCTCAATCCCTCATATCTCTTCACATAATAATTCCTAATCACCAAGAAATCATAGAATCATTCTATCACTAGATAAACATTAGAAGCATTAAGAGCGCGAAATTTGAAAATTAAACTCATAAAGAATTCTATCATTATTTGCCGAAGCTATTAATAATATTAGGCATCGATCAGTGGTATGAGCACACTATCAGCAAATGTTTGCAATTGTTAATGATGGAAATATATTGTTGCTTTCTTAATAACGGCAATAAATATTTCTTTCATTTGCTGAAGATAGATTCAGTCATCGTTGAAATTCATAATTCAAAATTTTACATACAAATTTATCAATCACATTTGACATTCAATCTGGAAATAGCGAATAAAACACAAACGGCTAATAAAAATTAGTACTAATATTACTGAAGTCAATACAATACAATAGTTTAAAGTTTTGCGAATGCAATTATTTCCCTTATTGATATTTCTGTGTCAATGATATCATCTGCTATCGATATCATTAAGGAGCTTACTGTAGAATATAGCTTTTCATCCGAACTTTTATGCACTTTCATGTGTCTATTCAAATCACCTTTCTGAATGAAATTCCTACCACATATTTCACATTTGAATGATCGTTCACTTCCATGCGTCAATTGGTGCCTCTTCAGACTACTGGAGTATTTGAATGCTTTATTGCACACGTGACATTTGTATGGTCGTTCATTTCCGTGCACCAATTTGTGTCTTTTCACCTTGCTGGAGTAGTTGAATGTTCTATTGCACACGTGACATTTGTATGGTCGTTCATTTCCGTGCGTCAATTTGTGTCTAATCAGACTGATAGATTCTTTGAATGTTTCATCACTCACGTGACATTTGGATGGTCGTACGTTTCCGCGCAACAACTTGTGGTTCTTCAGATTGCCGAAACTTTTGAATGCTTTATTGCACACGTAACATTTGAATGGTCGTACGTTTCCGTGCGTCAATTTGTGTCTCTTCAGATTGCCAGACCATTTGAATGTTTTATTGCATATCTCACATTTGTAATTTTTTTCATCGACATGTATCATCTTATGGTGCATCAGAGTAGTTGAACGTACGAATAGCACACCGCATACCTCACATTGGTACCGTTTTTCATTTGCTTCACTGTTATTAGCCACAATCATTATTTTGCCCTCACTTTCTTGTATTGGCTGATCGTTTGATATCTGAAATAACCCAAATCATTGGTTTATAGTTGGCTTATTGTTTTTCTGTGATTTTTGAACAGTAGTAATCACAGGTGTTGTGCAGATATCATTGTAGAATCTTTGAATGACAATAAATTACTTCAACAATAGCTCGATGAATTGCAATAATAATTTGAAAGAAAGTATCATTGTCCGTGTTGTGACTGTCAATTTAAGACAGAAGGATTAGCAGACCGATCGATGTAACGAAAATGATTCGGCGATTCAAACTTTAGCATTTCATTTTGATTTTTGCAATAAAATATGGCCACAAAACATCGATTGTTTAGAAGTGACAGGGAAATAGATAAGAAATGAAAAATTAAATAATTTTCCTTCGCAAGCAGCAGCTGTTTTCTGTCTTTAACTAAGATAAAAAATTTTGTGAATATTTAATTTCTATACTGAGAGGCAATATCTGATTTACATACCGTTATTTGCGCGGCATACAACGGCAGCACAAGCAATACCACATAATATGGCAGATACATGATCGAGAAGTGATGGGATGTGGAAATCGACGTATTATATTCGAAAAATATTTTCAGCAGACAACCAATTCAATGAAGTGATATTTGTCGTACTAACAAAGAGAACCGTTTTTATGCATTCCAGTAAGCCGAATGATCTCTGAACATATGTAATTACAAAAGCCTACTCATTTCGCATAATAATTTTGATTTCACTATATACGATTAAAACCTTTGTATCACAGTTCAGAATTTGTCATCACTCAATCCCTCATATCTTTTCACATAATAATTCCTAATCACCAAAAAACATAAAATCATTCTATCATTAGGTAAATATTGGAAGTATTGAGAATATGAAAATGGAAAATTAAATTCATAAAATATTCTATCATCATTTACCTAAGCTATTATTAGTTTTAGGCATCAATCAATGGTGTGAGCAAATCAAATCAATGGTGGGTTATTAGCCCAATCGATGGTGGAAATTTTATTGGATTTTTGCAACTCCTGTTGTGTGTATGGTTAGTAATACCCTAAGATTCTCTCAATAAAGATTTAAATTTTAATTTAAACACTTTAAATTTTATGAATCAAATGATCTATAAAAATTTGGACGCTTTTTATTCTTTATATGTACATATATTTTCTTCTTTATCTAATGTAGGAATAATCGAAATTCTTAAACTGAGGTAGCGTTGTCTTGTTGGATATCCATAATTCAACGTTCATAAAGCGCAGCATGTTAGGCGGTAATTGTCAAAATCGTTGTACTCAGTTTAGATTTACATATTTATCTCGCATTATGAATCATTCTGTTTGATCATATTGTTTT